AAGCAGCAGCCTCCAGGCCACTCAGAGACCTCACTGCGGGAGCAGTGGTAGAAACGCCGAAGTCGTAGTGGGAACAGCAAACAGCTACACAGGAAGGCCCTGGGGTTCTACCCCACAGCCGCCACCCTTGACTATTTCTGGTACAGTCACTCTCGACTATCACCCTAAATTCCCTCCTGGGAAGAGCTGGGTTTCTTGGGTTGAATCATCATTCTGTAGCCTCCTCCCAAGCCCAGAAGGCAAAACCAGTCAGTGAAGGCAAACAAGCAAAACAGCCCCCACATTTCCTTATCTGCCCTGTGTATCTCGGCCCACAGGAGCCTCACTCATGGTAGGATCCTTGGGTGTTCTCTTCCTCCCAGCGGAGTGAGCCTCGGCCGGCTCTCCACATCTGTATTGACCAACACAAGTGAGAAGCCCTGTCGGTAACAGACCCACTGCCTTCCCCTGCCAAAATCCCAGCACTACCTCTCTGGTTCAGTCAGCCGCATCGGTCAGGGTCCCGAGAGTCCCCAGAGTGATCCCCTGTGGCAGACCCTGGGACTCACTCACCTTCCTGGTCCCAGTAGTGAGCATGGCCGCAGCTGGCATCCAGTAGGGGCTCAGGAAACATCTGTCAGAGCTCACTGATGAGGTGGCAAGGTACCCCAGGGGAGAGATGAGCAAGCTATTTGTTTTGCCTCCAAACACAAACTGCTATTTTTTTTTTTTTTTAACACTCAGCTCCTCTTTTTCACAGGTGATAATAATAGAGGATGCCAGTCGTGGTGGTGCACACTTGTAATCCCAGCACTCAGGAGGCTGACGCAGGAGAATCACTGTGAGTTTAAGTCCAGCTTGGGCTACATAGTGAGTTCAAGGCCAGCTTAGACTACATAGTGAGACCCTGTCTCAAAACAACAAAACAAAACACAATGGAGTGGCAGAAATAATCCTTTTAAAATATTTTTTTATTTTTTATTTTTGTTGTTTTTTTGTTTTGTTTTGTTTTGGTTTGGTTTTTTTGCGGTACTGGGGATCAAACTCAGGACTTTGCGTTTGCCAACCAGGCACATTTTTTTTTTGGTCTTTTTGAGACAGGGTCTTGCTATGCAGTTCAGGCTGGCCTTGAGCTCACTTTGTAGCCCAGGCTGGCCTCAAACTCACAACGATCCTCCTGCCTCAGCCTCCCAAGTGCTGGGATTACAGCACCACCATGCCTGGCCTGTATTTTTTTATTTTGAAAGACAAGGCTGCTCGGACTACTATGTGGTTTGCATGTATTAGACTGAACAAGAGTTCTTATTTTTGTAGGTCAAAGATAGTTGGATATTGTCAATAGAAAATTGCTGACCTAAGATAACAGGAAATAATGAGAACTATAAATATGTTTATTACTGAGGCTATAATTCACTTTTTTTTTTTTTTTTAACAATCCACCTGATTTCATCATAATGGTCTATACAACCTACCTGGTCGGTCACCTCTTAGCATCTCTGGTTCCTCAGGCCCTGGCCACTGTCTTCCCTCTGTTCTTAGAAGCTAATCTTGCCTACGTGGGATGCTATCCCTCCAGATTTTTCTACGGATGGGTCTTTCCCAGCATTTCAGTCTCAGATTAAATTCTACCTTTTCATAGACAACTTCTCTGGGTATTCATTACTGTTATTATTATGATTTATTTTTGAGACAGGTTTTCGCTATGTAGCCCTGGCTGGCCTCAAACTCATGGTGAACTCCTGCCTCAGCCTCCCGAGTGCTGGGATTACAAGTGTGCACTACTGTGCCCTCCTCACCTCTAGCAACTCTCTCTCTAGCTCATCACCCAGTTTTGTTGCCAACGAGCACTTATCGCTCACAACCCTGCTTTTTTTGTTGAGTTGTCCTATTTGGGACACTATGGCTTAAGTCTGGGATGGCTGGACCTTTGTCTCAGGCATAGTTGTAAACAGAGCAGGCGTGTGGTAGGCACAGATGTTGACATACTGAACTCAGTAATTACTCTCTCAAAAGCTGCCGGGTATGGTGGTGCACACCTGGAGTCCCAGCACTTGGAAGGCTGAGGCAGGAAGACTGCCATGATTTCAAGGCCAGCCTGAACTACCTAGTGAGCCCTTGTCCCAACAAAACAAAACAACTAAAAGTAGCGGCAGGATCAGAGTCACTATTTTCTCAAGCCATTTCCTTCCCTTGCTTCGCTACTTCCACTGTCCTGGATTCCCTTTCACAGACTGGGCTTTCTCCCTTTATCACCATGCCTTGGGCTGTTCTCTAATTCTCTGCATCTAGAACTCCTGGACCTATTTCTCAGCTCACATCCTTGTTCCGGGTATATGTAGTCTGCTTCCCAGCTCATCCACTGACTCTTTTAGCTCTACAATACTTTATATTCCTAACATCTCTAATTTTTCTACAACTGCTTGTCCCTGCCTTTGGCTTCCTAGCATTTTTCCTTTGCTTTCGGAGAATTTTTCTACACTCCTGATGATTTCTTTTCCTCTTCCTCCTGCTTGTGTCTGTCCCTGTCTTTCTTTCACAGCGTGTGGATTTCCCCGATGTGTCATTGTCTATCTGCAGACTTAGACGTCTAAGTCTGACATCTTCCAGACATCTTCACCTGCTGGGCTTGAGAGAATCCCGGGGAGGGTGCTGCTCCCAGATAGCTTGGGGGAGACGTGGGGTGCACAGGGCTTGCGAGCCCCAAAGCTGGAATCCAGGCCCAACCCCACCTCAGTGAAGAGGCCCTGTACCTTGTAGATAACTTCCTGTCCACAGTGTGCCGGTTTCTGGGATCTAATCACTCACTCCTCAAGCCAGAGGTGGGAGGGACAGCTCTGGCCTGGAGGCCACTCCAGAAGGCCCAGGGTGGCCTGGACACCAGCCAGTGGTTCCTGGAGGTTCTGCAGTTTTCCTGTGCTACGGCAGCAGTGGCAGAGAGCAGTGAGGCAGGGCGGGGGCGGGGGGGATGGGTCCCCACTAGAACCACTGCTCCCACCCTGTGGCTGTGACACGCTGCTCTTCACCTCTCGTTCCCAACCCCCACCCATGGAAATACCTCTTGGGTTTTCCCTAAAAGTATTCCCATCTAGTTTTTATGCATGATCTTGCTGTGATACTCTCACTTCATCCCTATTCTTTCTGACTGTGCAAGCTGGAATAGCACCAGCCCCAGAGCTTCTCAGCATCCTGAGGCGTTTTGAATTCGGTTAGCCTTTCTTTCGGTTAGGCCCAACACTCCACTTCCTTATTTGTCCCTTTCTCAATGTTTCACGGCTCATTTTTCTTCAGATTGCAGCCAGCAGATCAAAAGTACAGGGAGAATGTAGTGCACTTGTGAAGAATGGGAAGACAGCACAGAGCCCCAAGAAAGACAGTTCTATGAATGGCTCTGCATGGAGGGCTTAGACCCGCTGTATCTTAACAAATGCCCTTCACTGTAAAGGTCTGGAAGGTTCTGTCCCCGTGGTTCAGCAGTGTGATAGCAACTCTGATCTCAGTGGTGTGCATGCGTCTGTACGCGAGGAACTGTGGGAGTGTTCATTTATTCCTGTCCTGCGTTTCCTTTTTAAGCTTTTCCCCCAGACTCCCCCTAAATGTCTAGTTTAATGGCTGGCTTCAAGAGTCCCTGGAGGGGAAGGCACAAACCAGGACCTTCTGGCCTAGACTTCTCGTAAGTGTCACAAAGGGAACTCATGGCCCAGGAGGGGTTAAGAATCATTGCTCAACATCATTGTCCCATTTCTTGCTCCATTTCCTTGTGGTTTTCCTCAAGAAACCACTGGCCTGTGTAAGGCACACAGAGCTGTTGAATCGCTAACGTTCTAGAAGCACAGCGGAGGCCCGCTATGCTCCCGTAAAGACTAATCAAAACCGCTAGTGGTGCCCATGAGGATACTCCAATACGCTCAGCCTTTTCCTGAAGTAACTGCTGGATGCCAGGCCTTGGGGCTGCCTGGCCCACAGGACCAGGCTGGGGCAGTGAGGAGAGGGCTGTCCAGGTGTGATCACTGCAGACCCTGCCTGTCTTCCAGTGAACCCTCTCTGCCATGTTGAGGCCGCACCTGATTCTCGCCATCTCTTAGGGGCTTGGCGCACACTGTCTATTCCTCTGGGCCTGGAAGAGCGTCTCTGCACCTTCCCTGTCTGTGGAATAAGACAGCAGTTATAACCACCTACGGGGGGAGTCACCATGAGTCATCTCCCTATATCTATCCCCTCTTCTGCTCAGTACACCCCCTCCCCATTTCTTAGCTGAGCTTAATACTAGTCAGGAAACACACCACATTTCACATGTGACTAAGTTCTGGTCAATGAGGTAAAAGGGAAAACTCGCTGGTACTTCTGAGAGGTTTCCTGAAAAGCAGAGGGGTGCCCTTTTGACCTTGTCTTCCTTCTCACTGTCCAGAGTAGGGAAGAGATAGCTGGAGCTCCAGTAGCCATTTTGGAGTATGGAGTGACCTCGGGAAAGGAACCTATGCATAGGAAGCCAACAGCATAGAAATGGGTCTCAAACACTACCAAGTCATTATGCCAGAGCTGAATGCCTTGCCTCTGTGCTTCTTTTGTAAGTGAAATGAATTTTACATATCAAAATTTGACAGCAGTTTAAATCACTATTTTGAAGTCTGTACAACACAGACTATCTTTAAAAATGCACATAGTCTCAACATGTAGGCCTGCAGACTGTTTTCGTTCATTTATTCAACAGTGAACCGTGAAGATCTATGCCTGTTGTCTTATTTTTCGTATCTGTATGGCACATTCTTTCCACAGACACTTTGAAGAGCTTGAACTCTTGGTTAGCCTTTTTTTCTTTTTTGGTACCAGGAACTGAACTCTTGATTAGCCTTGAACCAAGTACCTGATTCCCTTATTTGTCCCTTTCTGAGAAGTGTACTTGCCTATGTGGGCGAAAAGGCACGTCATATGGAGACACTGTGACAGTCATGCTTTGGAAATAACCGAAATGGCTATCAGTAGGGTTAAGATTAAACAAGCGGACAGTCATGCTTTACAGCAATTATAAACAGTGATTTATTGATAAGGGCAGGTCACTAAGGCAATCATTAATGGCTATAGTACACTCTCTGCCCAGCCTAAAACCTCACACAAAACACCAAAAAATCAAAATACATGCACAAGGCGTATTTCTCTGCCCGGCCAGATGTGGAATCGGCACCAGTTTTTGCCTTGAGGAGGGCCCTGAGATTATGGGAAAGGAGAGCTGGTGTTCCAGGGGCCTCCCTTTACTGTACTGGTATGTCATATCATTAAACTTATTTTTTAAAGACTACAGACATAAATAAGGGTAGGAGATACAGAGGAACTAGTGAGAAGACAGGGGAAAGATTCAAAAATAGGTTCTTTGTATGTTATCTTCTGATAGGGTTTATCCTTGGCAAAGGAGCTTTTTCCAGACTATTAACACCCATGTTTCTGCAGACTCCTCAGAGTGAATTTATTCTTCCCTGCCATTCCTATTAATGGAAATGAAGTGCCCATATGTTCACAGATCAAGTACTATATTTGCAAAATGTCTTCTAAATAGGAAATGGAGCACACCCATGCTGTATTCAAGGAGGGACTTCGTATGTTGTAACCTGCTTGGGCTGCTATAATGCAATGTCACACACAGACTGGGGGGCTGTAGAGGAAACAGAAATTTATTTCTACTGTTCTGGAGGCTGGGAAGTCCAAGATCAAGATACTATAGACAGCTAAGCTAGGTAGAAATTAATAGGCAGACAGGGATGAGCCTTTGGGAGAGTCGATGTGGAAGATGAAAATTCATCACAACTGTGGTTGGAGCAGCATCCAAAGGAGACCAGGCCTCAAGATTGAAATGAAATGACCTGGCCTTCCAGTATCGCTAAAGGGATAAATAACAACTTGAGATTATGTTGTAATTAGTAGTACCCAGTCCAGTCAGTCTAGATGGGCATTAGATGTCTAGATGAGTGACCAGAATATCTAGATGCATCCTCCCATCCCTTCCTGCCCCTTTCCAAAAAAATGCCTTTGTTCTTCCTATGTTAGAAGTTACGGATAAACTAAAGTTAATGATGCTCACCATACACTCTTGCTATGGGCCTCGTCTCCCTGTTGGATCAATATTAGCTATGCTCTGCACTTGTGATCCTACTGCTTGATTGTAGTTTGACCATTGGTGTACCCACCTTGTGATTTTGCTCTACAGAACATTCTTGGAGAGAGCACCTCTGGGGCCACCCATTTCAGGGGCCACCCTTTTCCGGGGCCACCCACTTCCGGGACCCCTTCTGTCTCTCAGGAGCTTTATCTCAGTAAACCTTTCTTACTCTTCACCTCTGTCCTCGAAACGCATTCTTAAATTTTGGGAGACAGGAACTCAGCACACCTGGCCTCTAGCAGGTTGGGAGTTACTTTCCCCCGAAGATTCAGTACCTGTGGAAGCAGGACCTGGTTAGAAACGCTGGTCCTGTGTGTTCACAGTGGGGGAGAGGCAGAGTCTCTGGGTCTAGGGAGCTGATGCCATTTGTGGGGGCTCTGCCCTTAGGACCTGATCACTCTGGAAGGGCCACCTCCAAATACCATCACACTGAAGATCAGGTTTCAACATTTGGGGGTGGGGGCACATAAACATTCAGCCTGTAGCGTTATGTTAAAATCATTTCCTCTGAAGAGGAATGAGACTGTCTAGAATAACTGGTTTTAAGTGGAGTGGCTGAAGTTTAATGAGACCCTCAGGAAAGGGGGCTCATCTCAGGCCATAGCGGACCAGCACACAAGTTTGCCTGGTAAATCTGAGAACATCTCCAGATAATGACGCACTCACTGAACATTTTTAAATAGTTATGACGTACAAAGGGCTGGCCTCGTTCATGTAAATGCATCCAAAATATCTTTAGACCTCAATGAACCACCAGTCTAATCTAGCAGTACAGTAGTGGCAAATACTGTATACCAAACAGAGCTACATTAACAGTAGGGAAAATTCACAAAAGCTGGATATTCCAGGTGTGCCCTGCATAGGGAATCTGAGACCCTAGCCTTTGCTGAATCGCATTTTAGCAAGATCCCCAGGTGATGTTAATTCTTACTAAGATTTAGAAGGGAACTGTGAGATTACAGAAAGATCCACTATCCATCCACCCCTTGGGAAGTGGTGACAGAAGTGACTATGACAGTCGGAAGGCGCAGGAAGGGTCCTAAAATGAGAAGTTGAGCTTGGAAGAACACTGCACACTTTGGAAGGTGCAGGGAGAGGAGGTGATGCGGCAGGAAGGAAAGGCAGGCCGGCACCAGACACAGAAGAGCCACACTGACTTTCTGAGGATGCTGGACCAAACCACAGAAAATCCTAATCCTCGTTTTGACCCGAGGCGCGCGACCGCCCCTTGGTAGGCTCGCGGCGCCGCGTCGCCTCTGCGCTCGTTCTGTAGGTCCTGCTCTCTCGACGAGGTTGCTCCGCACACTCGGCGTCCGCCGGCTCCCTATCCTGCGTCCCTGCGACCGCCGCGGGCAGTAAGAGGATTCGATTCTTAGGTTTGGGCAAAACTGGTGGTAGAGCAGAACTGCAGAAGCCAGAGGCTGGGGCAGGCAGACACGTGTCCCTAATTGAACGCGCTTCAGTTTTGGACTGGAAAGGAAGACTCCTGCTTCCAGGCAGCCACCAAGCCCTTGGCAGACGGAAAAACAAAGTTGGTTACACAATTTCTCAGCTTGCGAGCTAAACCCAGCAGTATGATTTCACCTTCGGAGTGTTAGAAATGCAAATTTTGAGGTCTTGCCCTGTCTGTACTGAGTAGGAAACTTACAAACCTAACTTGGAACAGTTCTCCAGGTAATTCCCACGTCCCTGCTGGAGCATGTCAAACACCTGCAGCCAGTGGTAAAGGCTTAAAATCGCCCCAACTTCCTTATTGCCTTAAAAATAAAAAGTAATGAGAAATGGGTTTCTATGCTGAATAGGCAGAACAGAAGCCACACAGAATTTACCTTTTAAATAGCACCCATAACTGAAAAAACACTCAAAAACCCCATACTGACCATCTTGTCCAGAAGCCTCAAATTTGGAGAATTAAAATAGTTTCGGTATAGACTATTATGTCTTGGCAGGCTAAATTAAATACAACTTAAAAGTAATCTTCCCAGTTGTAAATTTTTCCTCTCCCTTTTATTCCCCATAAAAACACCCTTTGGAAAAGCGCTGGAATTCCTTCAGGCCCCCTGCAAGCTGTGTTTCTGGCGCAACCGCCCGTTTGGAAAACACAATTCAGGAGTTGAAAACCCCGGACCCGGAGCAGCTCGGCTGCAGCCCCGGCCACACCCTGGGCCGCGGCTCCTTCCGGGCCGGGCCCGAAGATAAACAAATCGCTCCTGTTCTCCAGACAGGACATTAGCGCTGACTCACAGGGCGCCCAGAGCGGGCCCGGTCGCCTCGGGAAGGAGGAAAAATGTGCAGATTTTTTCTCTCACGCGAGGGCCCGGTGCCCAGCTGGCCAATCAACGGCGGGCTGCGGAAACCGCACCAAAGTAGGTAAAAAAATGCCGGGTGCCGCCCCGGCCGAAGCGCGCGGTACCGCCGCCGCGCTCGCCACCCTGTCCGTCCTCCCTCCACGCGCCCCGCCCAGCCTCTACCCTGGCCCCGCCCCCGGCGGCGCGCACACCTGGCCAGGTGGCTCTTTCTATATATGGGCAATGGCGGTGCCGTGGGCGGGGCGTACAGTGGACACGCCCCCTACGGGGGGGAAAAGAAGGGTCTCGCCACGTTAGACGTACTTCGCTCATCCCTGGTCTGCAGGTGTCAACTCTAGCTCCGCCTTCCTGCCCTGCAGAGGAGGGAAGTCCCGCCGGCGCCCCTAAAGACTGGAGCTGACGAAAGGGACCCGCCCTTCAGCCCCGGGCAGGTGAACAACACCCCCGCAGTTGGAACTCCCGGCGGCCCCCGGGCGGGGCGTTGCCGGCCGGCCCGTCGCGTAGCAACGGCGGGCGGTGCGTGACGTGCGCAGGCGCGTTTTGACCCGAGGCGCGCGACCGCCCCTTGGTAGGCTCGCGGCGCCGCGTCGCCTCTGC